TGATGTCCATGTTCGGGTGTAGCAGCTCACTGGTCTCTAGGTTACAGAGCCATGTTGCTAGGTACAGTCTTATACCAGCAGGCTCTTAAAATGGTCTGGTTACACTGAGGGTAACCTGGGTAAATTATACATAACCTGATGCACATCTACATGTAACTCCATTAGGGCTCTCAGGACTGCCACATCTGCACTCCCATGCCAATTAGTCACAGAAGAGTAGGCGCTAACCAGACAGAGTCAGCTTCAAAGGGCCCGCACTCGGAGATAAATCATTATAGCTCTGCTCCCAAAAGCAACCAGAGGCTCTGCACATTGATTGTTGCTGCTCACTTTAAGGGGCATTTTCATGTATTTGTAATGCAGTTAAAGACACTATTATCTAACAGTGAGGCTCATGTTAAAGTCTTTTTCACTTTGTGGCTAATATGTATCAACGGTTCAACTGAATGATTTTGTAATGAGATGTTTGTTTGGCTTGTAATGCAGGAGAGGCGTCTGCATATGTATGTTGTGTACTGTCAGAACAAGCCCAAGTCGGAACATATCGTCTCAGAGTATATTGAGACTTACTTTGAGGTGGGTACCTCTTTACATATACCTTGTTTTTTGTACCCTTTACATTTCTTTCAAGTAGTCGATCAATGTTTAGGCAATAAAATATCAGATTTGCTAAAACAAAATCCATCAAAAGTACCTAAAGTCAAAGGTGACATCATTGTTTTGTCTGACCATCAAGCCAAGATGAAAACCTGCAAACCAGCAAATTCCCTCATATGAAAAACTGCAGCCAGCAAATAGAGAATAGAGAATAGAGATTTTTACAAAAATTATTTTTTGGTTCTAGTTGTTTTCTGTCAATTGACGTATTGATTCATGACAAACACTTGCAAACCCATGATAAACTGGTCACCTGCCACTCAGGCCTGTAGTTGTGTCTAACTGTTTCTACACTATACATGGCCATGAGGGTGTCTTTTCAGCTGCCATTTATTATTCAGATTATAATCCTAAACACCAGAGGCATTATATTTATATCGGCCATTAGCTGCCATGTTTTTTGCTGTCATGCTGACTGGTGTGGTGCTGTTGTGCCCGTCTCTGCTGTCAGGAGTTGCGGCAGCAGCTGGGCCACAGGCTGCAGCTCAACGACCTGCTCATCAAACCCGTCCAGAGGATCATGAAGTACCAGCTGCTGCTCAAGGTGAAAAGCAGAGCACTGCTGTGCAGTTGATCACACCCAACACCTATGCGCACTACACAGAAATACTGGTGTTCACTGTGCAGCTGTGTGACACACAGCAAGCCCAGTCACTGGGTTGTAAACATACTGGTGTGCACACACAACCCCCTCTGTGGAGAAATACTGATGACACAACAGGTATATTGTCTGTTCAGGTCACTTTTCAGCAAGAGAGAAAGAGGCAAATTACATAATTACACTATTCTCACCATAGGTAAAAGTCTTTGAAGACGATTATAAAATGACAAATGACATAAATATAAAACTTTGCCCTTTGGCATTCAAATAAAAGGTGGGTCCAGCACCCATAAATACTCCTCCAGATGTCCTCACCTTACTCTGAGCAGTAAACCTGGAACGCTCTGGTGACCATGCTGTTTTTATTTGAGCAGGACTTCCTGAAGTATTACACCAAAGCTGGAATGGACACAGAGGAGTTGGAGGTGGGTGTTCTGAAGCATAAATATAAAGGTTAAAGTGATTTTTGCTCACAACCTAACTTTTGTCTTTTGAACAGAAAGCAGTAGAAGTGATGTGCTTTGTGCCAAAACGTTGCAATGACATGATGAATGTCGGCAGACTACAAGGCTTCGAGGTACGTCTCAGGAATGTAGATCCTTCACAGTCTTCAAAATATTTCTCATGCCAACTATTCAGCCCATGAAAACCACACCTTAACCATTTCCTCCTTGCTTGTTGTGTTTATCTTCGCTGTGGTACCAGGGGAAGATCACAGCCCAGGGCAAACTGCTCCAGCAAGACACCTTCACTGTTACCGAGCAGGACAGTAGCTTTCTGTCCCGAGCTAAGGAAAGACGGGTATTCCTGTTTGAGCAGCTGGTCATCTTCAGTGAGCCAATCGACAGGAAGAAAGGTTTCTCGCTCCCTGGATACATCTTTAAGAGCAGCATCAAGGTAAGTGCCTGCTGAGCCTCAGTGAATTCAAATGATGTTTTAGCAACATAAAATACCCCAAAAAAGGATTCATACACCATACTCCCAAGTTACGAGTTATACAACAGATCTACGCTAATTCTTGTCTAAATCAGCCTAAATCAGCCTGCGTTACATAATCCCATGCCAGGGACTTTATAGAGGCCTGCATGTGTTAGTTTTATATAACAAGCAACTCAGCAGGATGGACTCCTCACAGATGCTAGTCAGATGTGATATGTTCCAGGTGAGCTGCCTGGGAGTGGAGCCCAGTGTGGACGGCGATGATGCCCGCTTTGTGCTGACATCACGTAACCCTGATGGGAGTGTAGTGCGCTTCCAGTTGCAGGCCTCCTCTCCTGAGATCTGCAGGGCCTGGGTCAATGATGTTGTTCAGATCTTGGAATCCCAGCGCAACTTCCTCAATGGTAAGTCCCAGCTGAGCTCTGAAGACTATGCCACATCCCCATATTCCACAGAATGCCATAAGTAATGTAAAATAAAACCCACTTGATGATAATAAAAATACAATAAACAAGTTGCAATGCATGGAATACATAAAATCAAGGAAAATACATAATTTTAAAATAAGTGCAGCAGTTCATAAGCAAAGTGCAAAAAGAGTTTCCGGCCTGTTTTGTCAGCTGGCTTCCCTGAAATCTATAGGTAGTTTGTTCCATAGCTTTGGGGCCTAACTGACTGCATTCCCGACTTTCTTTCTGCTTATTCTGGGAACCTCTAATAAACCAGCAGCAGATGACCGCAGTGTTCTTACAGGAAAGTGGTGAACACGAGAGTTTGATATGTAGCTTGGTCCTAGCACATTAAGGGCTTTGTATAAAGGGAGGAGGATTAAAATAATTTCTGAATGTTACAGGAAGCCAGTGCAGAGCAGCTAAAACAGGACTTATGTGCTCTCCTGTTCTGGTTAATAGCCGCAGAGTTTTGGATGAGCTGAAGTATAAAGTGCATTTCAGTAATCGAGTAGCCTAGAAATACAGGCATGGATCCTTTTTCCAGCATCTATTTGATTCATTCTTACTTAGCTATGTTTCTAAGATGGAAAAATTATGTTTTCATTACCTTGTTAATTTGGGACTTTAGGCTTAGATCTTAGTCTAAGAGAACACCAAGACTCGTAACCTCAGATTTGATCCATTTCAAGATTATTAAACAGCATTTCTATTTGTTTTATGGCTGACTAGTAGGATTTCAATTTTGTCCTTAACTTTTGTTGCCAAAAGACAGGTAGTGGAGTTTATAACTGCAGCATCATTTGGTTCAGCAGTTGCATGTCATCCACATAACTACGCTGTCTTGTACTATGGAAGTCCATTCCTGCCATAACTAAACTTAGGAATCAAAAATCAAAAATAGTCATGGTATGTCAACATTATGAGATTCTACGCCAAAATCATTAGATTTTCTATATCAAAATATTACTTTGCATCGGTTCCATACTCTTAAACCTTTTTTATTAGGTTTTCTGACAGGTATCATTCACTGAATTATTTGTGCAATACAGACAAAACTGTAACACTTTAACCCCCCTATATAGCATTCATAAGCAGCATCTAAACATTTAATAAAAGGTTTTTAACAAACCTTAAAAATTTTTTTACCAACTATTACTCTTCCTGTGTACATGTATAAGTGGAGGCTGTTGTATTAACATATAATGAATGAAAATATAAAACAGTTGTAATATAAAATATGTCTTCATAGAAGAAGTTGTAATTGTTGACAAACACTGTACATTAATAAACCTAAATGTACCTATCTACAGCTACATTATAATGTGTTAATTAAATATTTATGTAGTGCTTATAAATGCTTTATAGGGGGGGTTAAAGTAGGTAGGTAAAGAGTTACCTTCAAAATAAATGGTGAAACTACATAATACAATGCTTTGAAAAACATTCAGAATCAGGAGTAAAACTTTATAAGGACTGTTTCTGTTCCTCTGTCTCTTTCAGCCTTACAGTCACCTATTGAGTACCAGCGGCGAGAGAGCAAGTCTAATAGCCTGGGCCGCAGCATGAGGCCACCTCTGTCTGCTGCCAGTGCCCTTCGACCCCACTCCTCCGCCTCCATTGATCGTCATAAACTGCCCTCCCTTCACTCTCACAACACCTCCCTGCCCACGCTCTACCTGCCTAGCCAAGGCCAAGGCCAAGGACCCAGCGAGACATACTCACAGCGGGACGTAGGTTTCTTTATCTGTGTCTTTCTCTGCCCTACATACAATGACACTGTCCTGCAGTAACTACCCACTCAAACACAGTATTTCTATTTATTAGACACCTAAGACACTGCCAGGCCTGCTTCTGTCTTAAGCTCTTTTGGCTGTGGGACTGGACTGTTGCACAAATGGAGTACTAAAAACAACAAATGGTATTGTGTGCATGCACTGCAGTGTTAGTGAGTGACCTTCCTGTTGTTTGCATCTGCAGCCCACTGTGGCCCAGCCATGCCCTGCTGACTCCCACACTGTTTCTCCATCACATGTTCAACTGGGCTTCACTGATCAGCCAAACTGTCAAGCTGTGTCAAATGGGCTGTACACACCCACCACACAAAGTGCACAGGTAGTGTATAAGCATGCATTTAGAGACAAAGCTGTCTATATGCGGGCCTCAATGTAATTATTTTGCACATAGCTGAACATTGTGCATCTGAGTTGTCTAGCAGTCATTATTAAACACCAGCATTGGCAAAATTAATGACAAAACAATCCACAGGAAACTGACCACTGCGGAAATAATGGGCCATTGTATAAAGTCTAACAATAATTCCAATGTGCTCATAACTGGTAATTAAAAGATGAAAGGCTTAGTAAATGGTAACCATTTATTTAGACACACATACAGTGAAGGGATTTGGTGAGTCATAAGAAGAGCTATTTCTCCCCCTATTGGATGAGAAAGGAATTAATCAACTTCAGTAACAGAAATGGATTGCAGTGTTAGTTGCACTTGTTGCAGTTGTTAGTTGAGTACAAAGACGGTTCTGTGTTTTACACAAAATATACAGTTTTCCAAAGTTTCAAGCCTGTCTATCCTTAAGTTATAACCATCTGGCCAGTCAACAATGGGAGCATCCTATTTTTGGCCTTTACATTACCGTTAGTGATCCTCTCATCATCACTGTGTGGAACAGGCCTGTAGTTGTTGTTTTCCAACTCTCTCTCTTTTTACTCTGGCTGGATTGGCTCATACAAAACAAACAGGAAGCAGGCTGAACCTGACAAGGAAATCAGAGTGAGAAGCCTATCGGAGACAGATAATAATTTCCCATCTTACTGCTTGATTGGATAGATGTTTCTTGGACGAATGCAGTCTGTAAATGAAATTTAGTTGATTTTCACAATTTCCATTAAATGTTTGGCAGGTTATTTATAGTGTCCTTGAATAGTATAAAAGTGAAAATAAAGTATTTTTAGCGAATATGTGAGTGCAGTACATGGAAGCATGCTACAGCCGTGTGATGAATGTTCCCTCTCTACCCAGCAGAGAGCAGGAGAGGGCTGCAGAAGGGGCCAGGCTGTTGATGCTGGGAGCCAGGCTCCATTTTCTGGCCTCTCAGCTGGACGACGTCCCAGCAACCTGGCTCAGCTAGCTGAGGATGACCTATGAACTCTGATGCTATCTGTCTCCCGTCTACTGTCTGTTTAGGCCAGGCTGGACCCTCAAATGTTTCAGTTGTGATTTCTGGAAGATAATGAAGGAATATATGAAGGAATTATGGGCTGCAACTATAAAATGACTTTGCTCCTGTTTTTATGCAGCAGTGACTATGCCACCTTGAGTGTACATGAACAGCACCCAGAATGATGTTACTGGGCTTAGAGTGAAAACACTCAAGGAACACTCAGTGTTATGACAATTTTTGTTTTTTACCTGTTTTGAGAGCTTGTACCAGACTATTTTCTCTTTCAAAGGGCAATCGGAATTTGTTTGGAGAAAAAATATCCATTCCTAATTGGGGCGGTCACTGGAGTTTCATGTGTGCCTGAATGGATGCTTATGCAGCAATGTGTGGATGTGTTTCAGTGCGTGAGTGTGCGCAAGGAGTGGCAGTGGCTCCTCTTGTACTCTCTGGTAATTTTTTTTTTTTGATGCCCCATTTTGAAGACAAGTACAGCTACATTAATACATTTTGTCATTCCCCTGCTGACAACTGAGTTTGCTGTTTATGTCAACAAGAATGGGAAAGGCAGAACACTTGATGTGAACATGCCACAAGGACTCGAATTTCAACTAAAAGCAAAAAACTTTCTTTCTTGCCACAGTGTTGAGAGCTCCTGTGTGCTCTCTTATTCTGTTTGACTGGCCCACATTTGATCTGGACAAAAAAGGTATGAGAGAGCCCCCTGGAGGTTCTCTGTGGGTATGACGTCACTTCAAAAATTCTTTGTGCTCTTTGGGCAACTCCAGAGGAGTTGCTACATACAGTAGGTGCATTCAAAGGGACTGCCGTGCTGACCCAAAGTGTTACATGCAACATCCCCTTGGTGATTGACTGGCACAATGCTACTTTACACAGATCTTTCTTTCCAGGCTGAAGTGGTTTTGGGGACACAAGTCCTTAAAAGTGCATTGGTATAAACAAATATGAATTGTTTTATTAGTCCACTGTTGTCATGTCAAGGCTGTGCACCATTTCTATAATCTCTTGCTTTTGCCCTCATGGACTAAATCCTATACAGTGCATACCATAAAGGCAATCATACATTTCCACTTGTAAGATGAAGAAGGAACCAGGTAGGCCAGGAAATTTTACCGTTCCAGTTGGTTAAAATGAAGGATAATATGTTGCTGGATAATGTTGAAGAATCTGCATGCTCCCTCTTCCTCGGACAGCAGTGCCAAAAACAGCAGCTCACCACTGAAACGTTTCATGCTCTTACGCCATCCTCTGCTACTCTTACTAAACGATCGTAAATATCTGTATTATTATCTGGATTGTAATGCCTAAGTGGCAAAAAGAGGAGAATGGAATAGATCAAGTGGGCTACCGTGTCAATCTCAGGCCAGTTCTTCTTTGTAGCCTATAGAGGTCCCCACAATGCTTAATCATCCATCTTAGTTGGATCATACACCTGCGCCAAAGATCAATAGGCCTCATGTTTCAGTGCTCACAATGAAGCAAAAGCTGCTCAATAATCTGTCCAAACAATAATAAATTACACTGACAGGTGAGACATTAGGTGAATGAAACCACCTCACATAATCCATATGTAGTTAAAGTGAACTGGCATGTATGGGAATTACTGATCAACACAATGTAATACCACTACAGAGAACCAAAAGCAAGGACATTAAACCAAGAGAACATTGTTTAATATTGTGTTTGACTGAGTAGAAACTGTTGTATCATATCAAATTAAAAGTGTCTTTTTGAAACCGATTGCAGTGTTGGTGTTTCCCTACATAATCTCCCTTGATTGGCATGATTTAAATAACTATCTACTTTTAATGTCTACAGAAACTCACCTCTTCTGTCCTGTAAATGCTTTGTAACCACTTGAGGCAATTAATAGTGTCATCCTTACGCATCCTCATAGTGTGCTAATTTCTTATTAATTTAACTAATAGTGCAACTAACATATATGCTATAGATCCCTCGGAGAGGCTTTACTTTTGGGAACCTCTGATAAAAGACAAAGGCAAAGTATTATGTTTGCTTTGGCATCCCCCTTGGAGAAAGTTCAAACAGGATTAAAAACAAAGAGAAGAAACCCCTGGATGAGCAGACATCTGGTTGGCTGGCCTCTGAATAAAGGCCCATTCTGGGCAGTAAAGCAGGGCCGATCGTAACACGGCTGTGATATATGGAGGCTGGGGACGGAGCGGGGGAAGGGGTATTAACTTTCACAAGGGTGCAAAATCAAAGGGAGTTCCTGTCACCACTGAGGGGGTCTCAGCAACAGGGGTCCCATTCACAGGGAATTCCTCTCCAGTGCCCTCTGTTGCATCTGTTGACTCAATCTTCTCCATTGAGAGAAAGAAAACACTCATTTAAAGCCACATGACTGTGAACTTGATTGCAGCAGGCGAGACAAACAGCCCCATCAATGGATTGAGTATTTACTTTGAGGTGTGAAAATCTTTGAACAGCCCACCATGTTAGGTCTTCTTTCGGATCTTCTTCCTTCACACCAACAGCACAATGACCTACATTTGTATTCTGAATGCAATCGAATTATCATTTAAATAAAATGTTAGATCTTTAGAAGCTCTGGGGCATCCGAAATTCACACATTTATTGACTGAGCTAAGAAAGTTAAAACCAATGACTCACAGTCAGTCATGGATATTTACTTCACAATCATTTGTCAAGATGTAAGGAAATAACATTGTTAGAAACAGTGAAATTGTTTCAGCAAGGACAATGTTTATTAAAATTTACATGCGCCATAACCCCAGTAAAATTGCTCATGATATTTATACATAATTTACAAAGATCTTAAAATTTTAAAATGTTGCTAACATGGAGCAATGGTGCTTCACATTGCTGCTTAAGAGCAGATGAGATAAATCTTTAGATAAAAGACTTGCATTCAAAAAAGATCCCTACCTTGAAGCAGACAAATTGGGATATGTTTTGGAATAAAAATCTAATTACCATCAGCAACAGAAGCATTTTTCCATTCTGAACCTGTTTTCGACAGCAGAAATTATAAGTTTTATACAGCAATCTTTAGCTGTACTAAGGCATACATTTATTTTGAACAATATGGACAACATATTCAGGTAAATCTTGTGGAATTTTGCTCGTGTCTGCCATGTCCTTCACATGGGTGTAATATTTACAAAATGATGTGATTTTCACATCAGTTGAAATCAAACAAATCTTAAATTGTTAAAGAAATCTGTTGTATTTTAAGATGAAGTATATTAGCGTGGCATCTTGAAAGTACACTGAATTCTGTAGAACCCACTGCCTTGCCTCAAACGGCACACAATTACTTTCATTAAAAATGGTCTCTAAATATGTTTTTATGTACTTCTTGAAGTCAAAAGTAGGGCTTTTACAACAGAAGATGTTCGGGGAGCTTGATGCTTACCCTCTAGTGCAAACCTATGGCAGTAAGTGTAAGTCACACAGTTTTTTCATTGTTGATTATTACTTTTGAATGATTGACCACAAATATTACTCTCTCTTGATAGTGGTGAGCAGAGGTTCCGTGCTCTGTGAAGGCTGCCCGGACCGGCTCTTCCTGGTCTGGTGCGTCTTGACATGTTTGGAGAGGTGGTCACTCCTCATGAACCTCTTGCCGCACTGCTGGCACCCAAAGCGCTTCTCTCCAGTGTGTGTGCGGAGGTGCCGCTGGAGCTCATCTGAACGGGTGAAGCTTTTACCGCAGAACAGCCAGTTACAGATGAAGGGCCTCTCCCCGGCATGCCAGCGCAGGTGTGCCTTGAGGTGAGAGGTCTTCTTGTACACCTTGCCACACTCTGGGATGTGGCAGATGTGCAGTCTCTTCTTTCCGAACTCTAACCCCCCGCCATTCGCCTGGCAGTTGGGGCACTTGCAGCGGCGGCAGCGGCGTGTTGAGCTCAGGAGGCCCTTGGAGGTGCCCTGGAGAAGAGCAGCTATCTGGGGCTGGTGGCCTAAAACCAGCTGTCTGCCTAGGGAGAAGGGATGGTTGGAAGGGGTTGTGTTGGTTTGGGGAAGGCTCCACCATTGCTGCCCTTCCTCCACATGACCTCCAGGCAGGTGATGCCTGGCTGAGGAGTTCTGGAGGAAGCTGGGGAAGTTCTGTCCCACATTGTTGTGCTGAGGATAATAGGGGCCGTTGGCCTGTGGCTGTGAGGACAGCACTTTGACTGGGGAGAGTTCGAAGGAGTAGGACGAGGGAGGTTCAGCCGGAGGGGTGAGAGGCAGCTCATGGTGGTGGTGATGATGGGGGTGATGATGATGGTGACCCAGGCCAGACTGCATGTGTCCGGGGAACTGCACCTTGGGCACGGTAAAGGTCATCTGGTGCGTGCTGAGGGCTGTGCTGGGCGCCATGTCATTGCTCCATAGCTGAAACATTCCTGATGTGGAGCTGACGGTGCCCTCGTAGGGGAACTGGGAGCCTTCGGAGCCCGTAGTGCCTCCCACCTGCCAGGCCTGGCTACAGGTGGTGGCCAGGAAGGAGAGGGCGTTGGGTGCTCCCTCTGGAGAGGAGCTGGGCGTCCGGTCCTGCTGATGATAAAATAAACACAAGTCAGATTACATGGGGCGCTTTGAAGACAACATAAAGTTTGAAATCTTAATTTATTTAAATAATAATTTTTTTAAAATTACAATCAATGTAAAACGTTCATAAACTGGCAGAATGTGTAAGAGTTTAGAGATATTTTTCTGTTATCTCAAGGTTTGATTATTTTACCACTATGGCAAGTTTAATTATTTTCATGCAGATCAAGCCTCATTTACTCATTGTTAGCTTCCACAAAGCAGCTAATAAATCCGCATGCACTGCCTCAAATAAAGATGATTCTATAACAAACCTGTAAAAAGGTGTGCAAAAAGTTGTCAGTCCTTTGTATCGCCAGCGCAGCCATCTGTCCTCGCGCTCCTTCTCCACGCACCTGCAACACAAACTGCGCCGAGCAGCGACGACGCACAAAGTCTAACCTACAGCTCAGAGCGCAGAAGAGAAAGATGCTCACATTCGGGTCTCGGATGACTCAGACACTTTGGCAGAGAAGACGGGGAAATCCAGCGTCATTCAAATGTGGCTCAGTCCACTAGGTAAATGTTTTAAGAATGCTAGCAGTCCAGATAATTTGGTGTTGAAGCAGCCGAGGATGCCCGTCTGAAGTTAGAGGCAGAGTGACGCGCCGTAAATCCTAGCGATCATCTCAAAGGCGGCTGAGCTGCATCTTCTCTTTATAGAGTGAAAAGATCCTCTCAACGGGGTCTCCAGTAAGATGCAGGAGAGCCAGTCAATAGAGAGGAGACGTGAGGGAGGAAGGAGGTGGGGTATTGTTAGGTGAAGGGGTGGGCTACTCATAATTTCACTCAATTTCAACCAAATGCTGACCCCAAGAACTGACTCCTCCTTCAATTGTTCTGAAAAAATGGAGAAAGATTTAAGGCATGATAAGATAAGAAGTCTCCTGTAATATTTTCAGTTTTTTTTAGAGTAACATATCAATTTAAACTTCCCAGGACATCTTGTGTTATGTTTTACTTCTTTAAACTACATGATTTAAAAAAACATTTCAAAGTGACACTGCTGAAACATTTAGTGTTTCAGCAACTTTCAATGTCTACATTTAGGCCTGCACAAGAAAAAAAATGCTTAGTCTGTTAAAACATCTAAGATTAATATAGCCAACATAGTCAAAATATTTTTCACTCTGGGAGTATTTGCATACTACTTCAACTCCACTGTGGGAATTCAAGTAAAGATAGTAAATACATGGATTTTTATTTCTGGCAACACAGGGATGTGCTGCTAAATGAAAAGGTGGGCAAACTACAATCTCCACTGAAAATATCAAAACTAACAACTATCAGCATAAATAATTGACGAACACTAAAGCTTTAGAGAGATTGATGTCAGGCCATAAAGGTGCGTAAATTTAGCTTAAGTTTTGTTTCTGAAATGTCTGATAACAAGTTACATTCAACATTTTACAACGTGAAGCTGGAGTAAATGTGCACAATCCTGTTTAAGGGATGTAGACCATGCACTCCTGAAAAGTCTTCGCCTGGTAGATGATGAGCAGAGATTAATAAATTAATGGAAATAATTGTATTTGGTGTTTGATTATTAGTTTTCTCCAGGTGACATGTAACAAACTTTTGGTTTCTGAAGGCTGCAGCGGGCGGGCTCACACACTATGAAGACAGTCACTGTATTTTCCCTCACAAAGCTAACTGATAAAACTCAATCAAAGCCTCAGAGTTCTCACCAGTGGGTGACATGTCAAATAGGCTACCCTGTGTGACATTCTCACATTTCAAAGTTCAAGTAGAGGCCGCTTCTGATCTGCTCCATTAAATGCAGATTGAGGCTTAATCTCATTCTGTAAGTCTGTTCACCATTACAATGTTAAGAGTTTAAATCCAGGCTGGGAACCTGTTTCTCATGTAAATTCTTAGTTCCTCACTTATCTACTGCTCCCTGTTTCACAGACTGTGATCCTTAAATAAACATACCCCAAGGAGGATCGAGCTAAAATTAGAAATAAATTAACTTAAAAAATGTATATTTTATAAATTAATTTGATCAGAAATTTAACATTTTCTGTATTCCACGTGGGATGAAATTCTTAGAATGAACAACTTCTATAAAATAAATGAAAGGTAACAAAGATAATCACTAAACTGTACCATTTGGTTAAGGCCTTTTTGAAGTTATTGGTGCAGAAGCAGTGCAGACAGAGTGCAACTTATGTTATGTC